CATTTTTCAGAAATAATCAAGGTTCATCTTTGAAGGTTTTTAGCGACGTCTTGTGGTGAAAACACATATTGCAGCCAGTTTGCCTTACATTTTAAACATACAGGGGAAGGACTAAGGAGTACTTCATTTTTCTCTGTATATTCCTTCTAAATATTGCACAGTAAACATTGCACTTATCCATAAAACATCACAACCTATGCAAGCCGTTATTAAAAAAACAAAACAAAAATATAAACACTGCATTCTTAAATCAAATCAAAGCTTGTCATTAACTAAAATCCCATACAGTTTAAAAACAAACAACATAAAAATCAAACCAATGTCACAAAACATTATAAAAATATTTTGTTAGTCTTTATTTTTAATCATTTTTGTTAGAAATTACAGACACATATACATATAGATATATTGGAAAATTATTTTGTTACCGTTTTCAAATTTTTTTAGGCTAAAATGAGAAATAACCACTTATACTTCACAGTGTATGGCTTTGTTCTTGCGGTTTTGAACTTTGTATAAATATATGAGTTTGTTTTTGAATACCAACATATTTTCTCATCCTCCCTTAAATGGATTATTTTGTACATTTGACATATCAAATGTATCAAATGATGTGAAGTGCTGGTGTTTGACAGGCCTCTTGTCTACGGCTTGTGAAATGTCTGTATCCCCTTGGATACAAAAACCAAAATTTTAAGAGTTTGAAACAAGAACCCCAAACATAAATATCTCAGAACTGCAACTATCAAAAACATGTTTCTGATTGTTAGAGACAATGTTTTGAGTTGTGTAGAAGCTATGTGCTTAAATACTTTGTTTTAGTGAAGATTTTGCTGCTGTGAATTTTCTTCTTGATTCCAACAATTGTCTTACTTGAGAGTATACAAAAGGCAAGGCAGGTGTGTTTATATTATCTGCCTAAGGTCTAGTAAATCCAACACTGAAGCTTCTGATCCATCAAGAATTGTGTCATGCAAGACTTTTTCCGACGTAGTCTCAGTGGTGCAATGTGGTCAAAATCCTAACCGAAATAGCTGAATCTGAAATTACATCTGAAAAGAAGAATTAGAAAGCTGCTACATTTCATTTATTAAAAATGCATTTTAGAAGAAACATCCTAAAAATAACACTGGCATTCTTTGTGCACGTAGATAGTTATGCTGTACTCTGCTTTACAGTAGAAAAAGATTTGGCGTAAGAAAAGAAAATAATGTTTTGATAATACTTTTTGACCTCCCTGACTGCCAGGAAATCCCTGTGTGTCGAACCCTTGCATGAACGGAGGGATGTGTGTGAGCTATAAGGGACCAGAGTTCATCTGTCAGTGTCAGAAGGCCTGGACAGGACCCACCTGCAACCAAGGTGATGTCATGTTTACACGATCAAAGCAAATTTGCAGAGTATGAAGAACATGATTGATATTTACAGGTCAGAAAGAGTTCCTTTTACATTGTATTTTTTTTGCACCTACTGTGTTCAGATATGGATGAGTGTAAGCAGAACCCCTGCCCGACTGGCTCCAAGTGCTTAAACTCAAATGGCTCCTTCAACTGTGAATGTCCACTCGGCTATCATCTTGAGGATGGACGGACGTGCACCAGAGGTGATCCTGCAATACAGATTAGTCCAGTTTATGGTTTTGTTAAAGTTATTCCAACTTGCTCACTGCAGGCTTTTCTTCCTTCTGTAGTGAAGACATTTCTGGGAACTTTCAGTTTTAACAAACATGATCATGTCAAAAACCCCGCCATGTATGAGAGAGAGATCATACAACTGGTAAGCCTCGCTCAACAATGCAAAAATAATGTGACAAAATATAACATACTAAAGTCAATACAGTATACAAGGCTATACAGAGTTTTGCAGGACATTTTAACGTGCATCATCACTGCCTATTTCTTCATAAAGCTGATGCTTAATGTGTCTCATTCAGCTCAACGTGTCACTGTCGGTCCTCCAAGGTTATAGTCGCTCCACACTGAGGAACAAGTAAGTCTGCAGCACACTTCAACCTTTACTGTTGATGCTTATTTTAAAATACTTTAATTTGCTAAAAAAAAAAAAAAAAAAAAAGTAAAACAGTGCGATTGTTCCAAATAGGGAACAGGGTGGGGTTCGTATCTTGGCTGTCAACATGTTTTCCATCTCCACGGATGTGACAACAACTGAAGTGTACAACAGCATCCAGATGTCTCTGAGCAACTGCAGCTCCTCATTGACCCACTGCAGAATGGTCCTGCAGCATCAGCTCTCCTACCACAGTGAGTTGATTAGCATGAACATCACCATCATCTAGATCAATAACCTTTACTTTCTTCTCTTTCTTTCGGGGATGTGTTGGAAGGTTTACCGTTGGCAGTTGATCAAATCTCACAGTGTATATATGTGTGTAGCCACCAGGGGGCAGAGTTTATTCAAAAGCATTTACCATTCTCAGCAGATAGCATTCAAGCCACTCTCTTGGTGGAGAATCACAGATTATCTAAATTAGAAAAAAACATTACTTCCAGCTCTCTGCATTACAGATTTAAATGATTTGGATGCAAACTTTTAATTTAATATCCATAATGTCTCTTAATTGTGTTCCAGTGGAGAGCTTATGTGAAGCTCAGAAGACTCAGTGTGATGCCGAGCGCTCAACCTGCACTGACAGCAGTGGCACGGCCTACTGCCAGTGTCTCCAGGGATATTACAAACACAACCCAGAAGACTTGTCCTGCCTAGGTAAGCTCTTTTCCTCATTACACAACATAAATTGCTCACTTGAAGAAAAACAACAGAATATTTAGTTTGATTTGTTTAAATGATTGAAACATAATGCCAATTTTGTCTTATTTCAGAATGCAGGGATGGATACAAGCTGGAAAATGGCACATGTGTTGCGTGAGTCAAACTTTGTTCATTTGTACTATCAAACCAATAAAATTTAATGTTTAAAGTTCTAAAGTAGTTTTTGTTTCTAATTTTCAGGTGCACTTTTGGATTTGGGGGCTTCAATTGTACCAACTGTAAGTAGATCTACCTTACCAATAATGTTCAGTCTGTTTTTAACATTTTTTACATGTGTTATTAGTATTACTTTTTGATAATTGCAAACTCTTTCTTATTTTAACACTACACAGTTTATAAGCTGATTGCAGTTGTGGTGGCACCTGCAGGAGGCGCTCTCCTCCTCATCCTCATCATTGCTCTAATTGTCACTTGCTGCAAGTAAGATGGCCCTCCTTGTCAGAGAATATATATATATGAAATAGATTTATATATTTTTTTATATAAATCTAAATATATATATACTTTAATTAATTTAGATTTAATTAGTTTTATCCGGCTAATGTTGGTGTTGTCTGTAAGTTTTACTTTTAAAAATGTCAACCTTTCAGGAAAGACAAAAATGACATCAATAAAATCATCTTCAAGAGTGGAGACATGCAGATGTCACCGTATGCAGACTTCCCCAAAAATAATCGGATATCCATGGAGTGGGGCAGGGAGACCATAGAGATGCAGGAAAATGGCAGCACAAAAAACTTGCTGCAGATGACTGACATTTACTATTCTGTAAGTAGATTTTTTTATGTTCATTTTACAACATTAAAACCTTTCCTGGAGCTACAAGTTTTTCAGATTCAAGAAGAAGTATGGGAATGTAGTCTAAGCTGAGAAGAACATGTAACAACACTACACCTTAGAAAAAAATATCAAATTTCAGAAAAACAAGAGGAAATGCTCAAATGAGTAACGTTCCAGTTTTTGTATCAACTACGACAGAGAGAGACACACATCATTATCATACAGACTGATTAACACAAAAAAATTCCTGAAAACAAAGTCAACATTATTGATAGGCAATTTCTTCACCCCATCTCTTAAGGAATGTGATGGATGAGTTACTTTTACAAAACTACATAGTCAACACTTTGCTTTTTTTTGAGACACAGAAGAACTGTACTTCTCTGGTACGTTTGATAATTTCAACAAACATACCAGTAAAGTATTTTCTGTATTGTTTTCCACAGCCTGCTTTGCGTAACTCCGACCTGGAGAGAAACGGGCTGTATCCGTTCACAGGTCTGCCAGGCTCGCGCCACTCATGCATTTACCCCGCCCAGTTGAACCCTTCTTTCATAAGCGACGATTCTCGGAGAAGAGACTACTTCTGAACGTCTTCCTCTGGAGCCACACGCATCCTCTGACTCTTCCTGTACTGCATCGTGATTTTTACTGTCGCCATAGGAAGGTTTATGAGTAAAGTCGTATCTGAAATCAGAGTTCAACACAGAAACCTGTGAGCTTCTGTGTGTGGTGCATTTTAAATACAGCTATTTTGCAAGTTAAATCCTTCTCCCTGTGACCATTTCAGTGTTTTTGCATGTTTTGAATCATTTTGTTCAACTTCTACAGGCCTCTGTAAATGGAGCGATTCATCTATTGTTTTAATGCAAAGGTGAATGGTCCATTACAGTCTGCCTCTTGTGTTCAGTTATTGCTGCCTATAAAGCACTGCACTGAAACAATTCTTCTTTATAAGATTTTAGAAAGGTGAAACAGACATCAGCAAAATGGTCCAAAACATCTAAAAATACAAATCATGAAATACACGATACTGCTGTAATAATAAATCTATTTTTATAAATCTTAAAACAAAATGTGGAGCTTAACAAATAACAAAAAATGTCCAAAGATTGGATCTATACTGACTGAATGATGATTTTGTAACCTGATGCTCGCTGTTATTTATTCCAAATATGGCCAAGTTGTCCACATGTAGCACAATGGTTATCTCAATCATACACACTGACTGACTTCAAAGGGATAAACCTGTGGCTTTATGTGTGTGGAAGTGTTTGCGTGTGTGCACAAAAATGAGGGTAAAGTGTGCGTGTGTTTGTCGGCGTGTGTGTGTGTGGGTAAGTGGGTGCAAAATAATAATTACCAGAAAATATTATAACTCTCCATAAGTGCTTGAATGTGAAGATGTATCATAATTTGCTGTTGCTGACATGGATTATTATTTTTATGTGTTTTCCTGCTGGTTTTGTGTGTTTATATGGTGTGTTGATTCTGGCGTTTTAGTCAGAAGTGTTTATTTAAATAAAAAAAATATCGAAATGATTTTTTTTTGCCTGGAATTTATTGCTGATTTTAATTAAATAAAACACCCGAAAAACTATTTTCTCAATTTACATATTTGACATGTGAGACAATAGAGTTGGGGATGTTATAGGAGCAGAACAATTACTATTGACAAGAGAAAAATATTTTGAGTTAAATATCTGTTAAAGTGGAAGATATTAGTATTAGGTTCATATTTTTTTACATTAAACATCTACATTTGCCTACTATACTTGACATACAGAGAATAGAAACATCAAGGGTGAAAACAATGACAATGCATTTAAAGAGATGAACACATTGAAGACATTTTTCACAGGTAATTTCAAACTGATGAGAATAATTTTCATACTCTGCATAACATGTAAGTATTGTTCCATTGCATATTTGATGTCATTGTCTCATTGATAAGAGTGGTTCTCTGCACAGAGCAGATAGAGAAGACAGGAAAACCTACACATAAAAATTGAAGAAAAACACAACCAAAGATGAACTACCTAACCTGGGCCCTAGTCAATGGGCCTGTCAGCGTAATCAACTTCATAATTAATGCATTTTACATCTTCTGCATCGTGTGTCCGCTCCACAGAGAAAGGATCAAGCAACCTCTAAAGCTACTTCTGGGCTCCTTGGTTGTCAGCACCAGTGTTTATTTCTTAACCGTTTTTAGGATGTTTTTTTTCTTTGAGCAAACTGCTGACAGGATCGACAAAATATATCTTGTGATCACACTTGGTTGTTTGTCCAGCAGCTCCTCTGTCTGGCTGAACTTCTTGTATCACACTCAGATTGTTCCTGCACAGAAAACCATCTTCATCCGGATTAAGAAGAACATCAAACCAACCATCTTCTTCATTTTGCTTTTAGAAAACATTTACGATTTACTGGATTTAGTCTTGGTTGTTATGGCTCCCAATTCTACTGGATCTGAACTCAACATGACTTCTGCGGTGGAGGCATTCATCTCCAAACCGGTGGAACAGTTGCTGAACCAGACTGTGGACATATATGCTATTTTGGCTATCATAAAGAAGTGTCATTTTTATCTATCTTTTGTTCTGATGATGACATCTAGTTGTCTCACTGTAGTCTATCTAGGAATGCACATTCGGCGTATGGTTATAAATGGACAGTCCCTTTCCAGTGCTCGGCTCAGTAGCCAGTTGAGAGTCACCATCACTGGCATCATTCAGGGTTTTCTGTATTTTTCCTTTACAGTCTGGCAGGAGTACTTGTTTACTTCTCAGCAAAATATGTCTGCTTTTGTGAGTCTTTATGTATGATCAACAGCGGTCAGTTTTACATGTTGGGCACCACATTTAACCTCAGAGCTGGTCAGTCTGTGTTCAGGCAGAGAGCAGCAGATATGTGGAGCAGAGCAGGTCGGTGGTTTAACAGCTGGCAGCGGAAATAAAACACATGTGACCTGCAGAAAAACTGAATCTTTATGGCTGTTTGTTTTCTCTGCAAAAATATTTTATTGCTTTATTTACTTTTAGATATTTTTATTATCCTCATTAAATTGTTGAAATAAAAAAACTGCTACATTGTGGTATGTGTGTAAGCAATTATTACTGTACAGAAATATTCCATTCTATTATTTTCACTGTTTATCTCCTGTGGTACACATTGTCTGATGTCTGAGTGGAAAAAAATGTCTATATTGAAATAGAAAAAGAAAATCAGTTTTGTAAGTTTAATGATATTTGTTGTTGATTGGCAACAGTGTACTTTAATGGTACACAAGAGAAAAAAAAGCTCATTTTCTTAAACATTGTTTATTTCATAAATCTGTCAAATATCTCGATAGCCTTACAATACATACCATTTTAAGTGTATCACCTTATAAGATAAAGTTGTTTCTCTTCTGATTGTTGCTTTGAGGCAACATTATCCTGCACCATTTTGGAACATCCCATTTTCTTTAATATCAACCAGTTAGCATGATTGGAGGTTGGTTGTAGTAAAATAAAAATAAGGCTTTTTAAATGCTACCTAGACTGCAAAACAGTGAACTCTGTCAGCTTTATTTGCTTATGTTTTCATACAGAATACATTCAGCCTAATTCTATTACCTTTGAGAAAGAGCATGTATTTTTTTTTAATTTAAATTATTGTTGGTGTTGTTGAGTTTCTTCTTTTGATTGGCTCCATGCATTCTATTTTAACATAATATTTTGAATGTGTAGTTAAAGTATGCAGCTTCTCTGTTCTTCAGTGTTTGCTGCATATCTTCATATGCTGTGGAGAGTGCAGTCTCTTCTGTCGTCATTTGGATAGTCAGGGATAATTCAATGACTATCTAGACTTGATAGTGAGGGACTTATGAAGTCTAGATATTTTGATAAGTAGGGCTTTGTCAAAATAAAGCCTTTTTTGAGTAGTTTTGGGAACTACTCCAGAACATTATGGAACAAAGAAGGATTCTTCATAAAGTCGAAAAAATTACTTGAGATACAACATCATGCGTTTTTATCTGGGATCAATAAAGTAGTTTTAAATTTAATTTTACTGAAAATGTGACTTCATATTAATTTTATCTGTTTAAATGAAAGTGAAAATAAAGTTGTACAGTTGCTTCTGCTACCACTAACAATAGCACAGGTAAAACATAACCAAATGAATACATTAATATTCACTGGCATAGACATAAACGTATGGGTTTTCATCACATCAAGACGTGCTGTGAAATGAGCGTCCATTTCTCTTTACAAATATTTTAAGCGTGAAATAAACAGCCAATCTGTGACCAAACTGAAATAAGTAATATCAATAACGTGGGCTCTTTCGTTTTCGCGCAACCTTGCCCTACAAGTATTTTATTGCACAAACGCCGTTTGAAGAGAAACGATATTTTCAGAGAACGAGAAGAGTCTCAGGGAGTAGTGACAGCTCCGAGCTTTCGAGTGGACCGTGAAGGCAACAGAGGTCTGGCTCAGCCCCTCGTCGATCAGATCCTGGAATCTTGCTTCTGTCTGCAGTTGGCCAGAGGAGATCTGGGGAGCGGATGCTAGCAGGATGGAACCCACCTTCTCAAGGGAAAAACGTATTGTTTTCATAGTTCATATTTAATAACAGCGCGAGTCAGAACCGCGATTTTCATCAACATACGCCATAAAGACTGCCGTGTTTTGATTCACAAACGCTCGAAAAATCTTCGGCTCAAGATCTCTGACCCTGAAACATACGATGTCCGATGAGCGGTCAGGTGAGTAGCTCAACACTTTGAGCAGATTCTGAGGACTGTTGGTGTTTTTCCTAATGCATGGCTCTAACTAACAGGCGGGACAGTTACGTGTTTGTTTATTGGTAAAACTGCAGTAAAGCTCAGTTTTGACTTGTTCAGGAGTTGAAGTGCAACACTCCAACGTTTCGTTTCCATAAGTTAGACCGTCAGTTTAGCCGTTTGGGTTAAAGTTTAAGCTTGAAGGAAAGGTTAGACTTATTGACGAGTCCGTTAAAAAAATAGTTAAACAGTTACCCGCTGAACGAAACTGTGCAGAAAAGGCTGGAAAGTGGTTCGGGTTTTTCTTTGGGCGTCTTGAAATAACTGTTCTTTAACCGTTAACCACCGTTGACGAATTTTATTGCAGTTTATTTACGTTATATTTGGTTACCATTGGATCTTTGGCAGGGGCGTGCAGGGATTTAAAGGGCCAGATGCTTAAAGTAAAAGAAAAAAAATGGTGCTTTGTCAACGTTTGGAGAACAACGTTTGAAAAGATAACACATACAAACACACATAACACAGAAAATATATTTAATATTGTAATTCAGTTCCAGATTAAACTTACTCATATTTCAAGTGTTTATTTCTGTTCATTTTGATGATTATGGCTCACGCATAATAATAATAATAATAATAATAATAATAATAATAATAATAATAATAATAATAATAATAAAATATGTTTTTCAGAATGTTAGAACATTACATAAGACCATTAATACATAAATTAATGCAGACCCGCCTGTCATGTCCAGGCGGGTCTGCAACTGTGGCTCTTTAAATCGTCCACAATAGCTCTCATACTTTTGGTTTAAAATGATAAAGAAACATGTTTACTGACATGTTTCTAAATACAGATGTAATAAAAATGCCAGCTTTAGCAGTTTGTCGTGTTTTGTTTCATGGAATAATGAAACAAAACTCTCATTCATTAGATTTCCACAAATGAATGGCACTAAAAGTACCTTTAGTATTTTTGGAACAGTTTTGTCTTGTCAGTAGGTTGGAGACTATGCACTTTTGTTTTCACAAATATCAATATGTCATTTAATAATATATGATATATTCATAATCTTGATGTTATTTATTTCAAAGCCTAACACTAGGCTTTAAAATGTACCGGCTAAGTAGTGATAGATTACAAGTTGTGGCTCAAATAAGGCTGTGTTAAAGTGCAATGAGGGAAAAAATTAGTCTTTGAAATTTGCAGTCTGCAGACCCCTAGTCTACACAGCAATGTGGAAGGCTGCTGACCTGACAGCAGACCAGCAGACGGTCATCACAAGTTCACTGTTAAGGAAACTGGTAATTTACTGAGTGCCGTAGCCAGGGAGATTCATGGAATGTTGAGTAGGAGGAAAAAGTGCAGAAGAAAAAGGTGCAAAAACACCAAGGACTAGAAGTCAAAAACCTTTTCAACAGTTTCACAAGTTGTGGACAGTGGAAACTCTAAGAGCTAAAAGAACCGCCACACACAGACATATGGGGGACATGGTCTGCAGCTGCCACATTCCTTGTGCAAAGCAACAAATGTAAAAAAAAACCCTGCTTTATTCCCTGTTTGCGTACATGAAAAGGTTCACCCATCTCTAATGTTGTCAGGCGTCACTATCCTCATGCTTTCAATGCGTCTATTAAGTTGTCATGGTTGCTCGACAATGTACCGCTATCTAGCCACTAACAGTCCTGTTGATGTGAAAAGAGACACCACTCTAGTCAGAGGTGGTCTGTTCACAGATAAGCTCTGTTTTAGAGTAAATATGAATATAAGGAAGCATGAGTTTTTTCCTACACATACACTTAAATCTTTATTTTAACTTTTTATGACAACATAATGTTACACTTAAATCAGAACATTCAGAATTAAAATAGATATATTATTTTTAAAAATTACAAAAATAAGACTTCTTTTTGTTTTTGCTACTTGCATGCCTTCATGTCTTTTCCCGATGGTACAGACTTACTGTCTTTGAAATACAAATGTGTTTAGCATTTGAGGTTAACAAGTGCTCTGCTCTGTGTCAGATCCTTCAGGGCACGCCCTGTGAAGCTTCCCGCCTGTCTCTGAAAGGGGAATGGCCCCGGCTCTGACCAAGATCCTGAAAAATGACCACGGCATCCACCTCTCCTCCCCTCCCGCCTCTGTCGCCGTGGACTCGGATGCGAGCACCATTCTGTGCACTGTAGAGCTCGAGCCTCACCTGAGACCTGCAGATGACGGTGACCTGCAGAAAATCAGCTTGAATCTTTGCTCACTCGGCTACCTGGACCCCGTAGACCCCCCCGCAAATCCTGATCCTTTCGCGTGCGGCCCTGCATGTCGCGGTCAGGGTGAGATGGTGGCCCGGCCTGCTCCCGGTTTACTTGTTAGCTTGCCCTGCTTCAGTAAATGCCAGAGGGAATCTCGTCAAGTGGCCACAGTCTTCCCAGGTGCAACAGACATGTTTTTAATCCCTCTTCCAGAGCACAATAGCCAGGAGGCCTTGCTCCTGCACGGACAAAGTGTTCAGCCTGAATGCGGGCCAGATGGTGGTGATGTGCTCCACTCCTCTCTCATTTTTCCCAGTGTTTGTTCCTCCTATACTCATGGCGAGCAAAGCTCTCAGAATCTCACTTCCATGTACGTGACCCAGCCCAAGATGATGTATGAGGAATTAGAGAAGCTCTGTCCTCCTCCTACTGCGGCTCTAAGGCAGTTTGGGACTGGCTTTGCGAACCCTGAACGGCTGGAATCAAGAAATCCGCTAGAGAACGCAGCGAAGGAGCAGCTGTCCCGCCACGCGGAGCTTCAAGGTCGAGCCTGCAGGCTGCAAAGGAGACTTCAAGCCCTGCTGGGCGAGCACGCTTTGAAGCACTGCAGCCAGCAGCTGGAGGGCCTGAAGAAGCATTTCCAACTCGAGGATGTTCCACTTGACAGCCTGGACTCTGCTACGCCGCCACAAAGTTGCAGCAATCCCTGTTTTCCCTGGGAAGAGTCGATTGCAGCCTCTGCTTTTTTTGCCGAGGTGGCGGATTTCTGCGAGTCCAACCAGATGGTTCTCAGAGGCCTGCAGGAAGCCCTGGACTCAGAGGCCACAGGCAGCAGCAGCTCTGACGATGAGTCAGAGGAAGACATGCTTTCACATTTGTGAGTATCATCAAGTTGCTAATCTGTCAGTTTGTTATTGATATTATCA